GCATTGGTGTGCGTGAGCAAGTGTAGTGCGTGTGTGCGTAGCATGTGTATGCGCGTGTGTATGTGTGTGTGTGTGTGTGTGTGTGTGTGTGTGTGTGTGTGTGTGTGTGTGTGTGTGTGTGTGTGTGTGTGTGTGTGTGTGTGGGAACCTTGGCTTGTTTTCTTTGTGCATGTACGCTTGCAATCACAGCTGCCGCATTTCTCACATACGCACACACGTACCACCATCACCGCCACCGCTATTGTTGCTAGTTTGAGGCCATCTGGTGCATCACGAACATTGCGGCGGGCGACACGTATCACACGCAGGTCGTGGCGGAGTGCGAGGCCGTGCCCACCCTCATCTCCCTCCTCTCACGCGGCACAGACCGCATCAGGGAACAGGTGCGCCGGGCACACATTTACTAGCTGTGGCTGTGTGTGTGTGTGTGCGTGTGTGCGTGTGTGTGCGTGTGTATGCATGTGTGTGCTTGTGTGTGCGTGTGTACATCGGGCGATGAACATGCTCATCTCGCCACAGTTCATCTCACCACCATCATCATCATCACCACCATCATCATCACTGCACGTGCGTGCGCGTGTGTCATCAGGCCGCGTGGGCGCTGGGAAACATTGCGGGCGACTCTGAGATGATGCGCGATTACGTGATTGAATGCGGCGTGGTCGAGCCGCTCAAGAAGTGAGAACAGCGGCAGCGGCGGTGGAGATGGTGGTGATGGGGAATTGTGATGAGGTGTTTGTTGGCGGTGATCGCGATGATACTGCTGCTCACATGCATCTACCCACATCCTCGACATCACCACCAACACCATCATCATCATCATCATCGTCACCATCACCACCTTTGCAGGTTGATCCAGACGAGTGGGCAGGTGCCGCTGCTGCGCAATGCGTCGTGGGCGGTGACAAATCTGTGCCGCGGCAACAAACCGCCGCCAGCACCGGCAGCCGTCCGCCCGTTTCTCGCCACCCTCCTCAAGCTCCTGCACTCTGGCGACGACGAGATTGTCATCAGTGCGTGGCTGCTGATGGTGGTGGTGGTGGTGGTTTGTGTGTCTTTGGTGTTGTGTGTGGTTGATTTGGTTTGTTCTTGTGTGTTGTGTGTCGTTGACTGAGCTGCAGGAGGTTTCCACCGCCTTGTACTGCTCGCAATCACAACACCTCACACACATCACACATAATACCTCACACACAATACCTCACAACACACACACACACATCCACCTGTGTGGCGCAGACGGGTGCTGGTGTGCGGTGTTCCTGAGCATCGGCTCCACAGACAACATCCAGCAAGTTATTGAGACGGGCGCATGCGCAAAACTCGTCGAGCTCCTGCTGTACGTTCCTCCTTTACTTCTGGTGATGAGGGTGGTGGCAGTGGTGATTGATGCCCACATGCGTGTAAGTTTGGTGTTTATTTGTGCCCGCGTGATCATGTGTTCATGCGTGTCCAGTGTGCACCTCACGGAATACCCGTTTCTTTGTGCTGTTCAGACACGACAAGTGGGCGGTGGTGACGCCGGCGTTGCGGGCCCTTGGAAACATCGTCACAGGAAACGACATCCAGACACAGGTCTGCACACATGCACATGCCTTCATGTGCACACATGTGCTCATTTATTGTGCAGTGCCTTGTGTAAATGTGTGCATGTTGTGGAATGTGTGTTGTGTGATGTGTGTGTGTGTGTGTGTTTCCTGTATGTTCCATGCGTTGCGCCATCCCTTCACACCGCCACAAACACATGCCTGTTGTCGCCGCTTGTGTTCAGGTCGTTATGAACAACAGCATTTTGCCAGCGCTGCACTCCGTAATGAAGCGTGCATCGGTGAGCCTTTTTGAATCCAGTCCTTGTGCTTGTGTGTGTGTGTGTATGTGTGTGTGTGTGTGTGTGTGTGTGTGTGTGTGTGTGGAGCATGAACTTGCCAAAGTGGCCTAACGACTTTGTTGACGTTCGTCCCACCGAACCTTGACATAAGCTACCATTCCCTACAACTACGGCCACAAGACTCAGCGCCCCTGTTCTTACTACACTGTGGGCCTCATATCTCTAATACAATGGCCCAAACAGTATAACCGCGATAGTTCCCCCAAACTTCCAGTTCGGTGCCCCAACCGTTAAATCCTCGGCAAAACTACATCCAGCCCCGTATGTTGCTCCCTGATTGCATGGTGATTGAGACTACTATGCGATGCGTTGCTAGTGCGACTGTTATCAGCCCTTCTCTCTCGACAAGTTCCTGTCTCATACCATCCCGCGGAGTGAAACTGCGGGATAGCTCAGGGTGTCAGCCGCGCCTATTCGCGGAAAATCTTTCCATGTTTCTGACATACGAACCTATCTCCCGCTAAGGTAACCAAGAACAGAACGCCTCGTGGCACACCCGTATAAATCATACTAGTGAGACCAAGATGGTGTGTGTGTGTGTGTGTGTGTGCATGAGCTTGCCTCTCCATCTCCATCTCCGTCCGCATGTCTCGTTGGAGCACACGAACACGTGCCTGCTGCTTACCGCCCCCCTCCCCATGGCTTTAACTGCTGCCAGCGGGCTGTCAAGAAGGAGTGCCTGTGGGTTCTCTCCAACATTCTCGCCGGAACAGACGCACAAATCCAGGTGCGTGCGATGTGTGTGTGTGTGTGTGTGTGTTGGGCTGTGATGACACTGAGCACTGGAAAGCCCAAGTTCTCGCGTTCACCACCCTTATCCCTTGCCCCTCCCCACCGTGCACTGCAGGCTGTGATTGACGCGAATTTGATCCAGCTTGTGCTTGATTCGCTCGAGCACGGCGAATTCCGTGTGCAGCGTGAGGCCGCGTGGGCGCTCTGCAATGCCCTCGCCAGCGGCGCCGACGACCAAATCAGGTCAAGTCGTGGGTGGGTGTGTGTGTGTGTGCGCCCGCCCTTTTGAGTCTGCATACCCCTCTCTTTGTGTGAATGTTCATCTCCTCATGCGCTCTTTCCGCTCCGTCACACCAACAGGTTCATGGTGTCACAGGGATGCATCCCTCCCCTCTGCGCAATGCTCAAGAAACACGACGCCAAACTCGTCGGGGTGAGCACCTGCAGTCCTGTGTGTGTGTGTGTGTGTGTGTGTGTGTGTGTGTGTGTGTGTGTGTGTGTGTGTGTGTGTGTGTGTGTGTGTGTGTGTGCATGTCTGAGTGTGTGCATGTCTGAGTGTGTGCGAGGCTCATTATGCTCTCATTGTTCTCTCTTCTCCTTGTCTCACCGCACCCCCCTCCCACACACACACACTTCCACTCCCCCCCCACCCCCAATCTCTCCTTCAGGTTGTGCTGCAAGGGCTGTACAGCATATTGACGGTTGGAAAGCGCCCGGCCGGCGAACAAAACGACTTCCACGACGCCATTGAGCAGTGCGGTGGTGAGTGCAAGACAGTGGTGGTGGTTGCAGTGATGGCCGGTGTAGTGGTGGCTGTAGAAAGTGGTGATGATGGTGATGATGGTGGTTGTCGTCGTGATGGCGTTTACACATTACACGTCAGCGTGTTCACTTCAAGACCTGCCCGTTCATGCATGGTCACACGACGTGCTCCCAATGTTAAACCATTCCAACCACCTGGCCAACTGTTCAGGTCTTGAGACACTGATGCTGCTGGCCGTTGATGAGAACGAGAACATCAGTCGTCGCAGCCGTCTCCTGCTCGAAAAATTCCTCCAGCCCATGCACGACGCCATGGTCGAGTGAGTAGTTGACTTGGGACCCGGGTGGGGGGGGGGCTCTTGTGTCTGTGTGTGTCTGTGTGTGTCTGTGTGTGTCTGTGTGTGTGTCGCCTCTGTTTCAACCTTTTCTCCTGACCGTCATTTCTGACCGAAACGTTTGTTTCGTCTGCAGGTTGGATCCGGACTTTGACGGACACATGTACTCGGTGGATCAGATGCACGTCACCCCAAGCAATTACCACGTCTGACAACGACGCCGACGACGATGATGGTGGTGGTGGCCATGGTGGTTGTGCTCGTGATGTGATGTGATACGATGGGTGCTCAACAACGTGCATTTCTTGTGTTGGTTTGTGATGTGAGCCGCTCTCAGCAGCATTAATTGCAACTGTGTGTGTGTGTGTGTGTGTGTGTGTGTGTGTGTGTGTGTGTGTGTGTGTGTGTGTGTGTGTGTGTGTGTGTGTGTGTGTGTGTGTGTGGTTGTCGCATGGCTTATGATTCGTTCCAATTTATGACGAGAAAGTAAAGAGAACGCAAACAACCATTCCACACTCCCATCCCGTGCTGTTAACGTAACGTGTCGATTGATCAGAAAGGGGGTCACACAACGCATGCACACAAAACTCGCTGATAAGCGTAAGCACCACCACCACCACCAGCACACAGAAACAGGCGTCACCATCATCGGTGCGCGTGCAGCCATGAGCATGGCTATGGCTGGCTGCTGAAGTTGAGCGTTCCCTGATGGCGGTCCGGCGGGTTGAGGCGATGCAGCTGTGCACCATCGCCCATCTTGTCCCTGCGTGGTGGTGATGGTAGGGTGAAGTGAGTTGGAAGTGATGGTGGAGATTCCAAGCATGAACACACACACGACACAGACACAACACACAACACACAACACAACACGACATAACACACACACAACACAACACGACACGCGACGTACTGGAACTGGCCCATCTTGAGCGGAGAGAGGATGAAGAGCTGCTTGTTCCGGCGCATGCGCGTGAGTGCGAGCAGCAAATCGACAGACACCGACCGTGTCATCATGTCCTGCAGCGGTCAACGGCAGTGGCAGTGATGTGCAGAGGGAGCGTGGATGATGGAGGGTTGAGGGTGAAGCGAAAAAAGGAAGTTGCATGGGTGAGATGTGTGTATGTGTATGCGAATGAACGTGATTGAAAGCGCGCACACACACACATGCGCACATGCGGGATGGATTCAACAACACGACACCGCCACACGTGCTTGCTATTTGCACGATATCGCACCATAAACACGTCAAACTCGTCGAGGGCGGTGAAGGGGCACTGCATGACATCCCACAGGGACATGAGGAAGGCAAGCGTGGAGAAGGACTTCTCGCCGCCTGCCACGAACACACACACACACACATGCAAGTGAACAGTAGTGTGTGTGAGTACGTGAGATGAATGACACATGTGATGAAGAAGAGGTGGGGTGGGTTGCAGCAAGCCTCGCGAAACCACTCGACACACAGGCACATCCCAACACACGACATACATTCACACGCCCTGACCTGAGAGCGACTTGGTTGAGCGTGCGCTGTTTGCCTCCTGCTTTGCCGGCAACACAGTGAGGTGGAGCTTGCCATCAAACCTGACCTCCTCCTTGTTGAACTGCTTCTCAAAATCGAGTTTGCCAGAGAACCCGTTGTGCTGCAGGCAGCGCTGGAAATACGTCTGGCAACACGTTCCAGTGGTGTGGACGGGAGAGTGGCGGGAGAAGCAGGACACGACAATGGCGCGGATGACGTGAATGAGTGATGTGGATGATGTGGATGATGTGGATGACGTGAGTGGATGATGTGGATGATGTGGATGATGTGGATGATGTGGGGTGTGCACACAAGTGGCGCGCGGGCGAGTGTGACGCCACCTAAACCAAACAAATGTGTGCATCTGTTCACAGTGCACATGCACACACCCTCATGCGGCAGAAGTGGTAATCGACATAAAACTCCAGCTTGTCTTTGCGCCTGTTCCTTGCCTCCACCAAATCCTACATGCATGCATGCACGTGTGTGGGTGAGCGTGTGTTTGTCAGCGAGGGCAGGGCGTACAAGAGAACACACGAGAGAGCATGCCGGGTCCTGGTTGATCGGGCTGTTGCACGCGTGGTACACAACTCACATGCAAGTAGCCTTTCACGCATTCGAGGACGTTCTTGGCCTCGTCAAACTGCTGTTGGGCCTCGTGAAACTTCCGCCGAAACTCGTCAATGTTGTCAATGCTGTGCGCAATGTGTGTGCGTGTGTGTGTGTGTGTTGTGTGTGCGTATGTGTGTGTGTGTGAGTGAGAGAGAGAGAGAGCGAGAGAGAGAGAGTGGTGTGTGTGTGTAACCATGACGCGGGGCTGCTGTTCCGTTATTGACATGATTACAGCACACTCACACACGCACACGCACGCAAAGGAAACATTACATGGTATGACAAAGCCGGGTGTTGCACTCACTTGCTGGCCTGTTTGCTCCTCGCAATGCGCGCCTGAATTTGCTGCAGCTCGTGCCGGTACCGCTTTGATGATTTGGTGGTGGAGATTTCGTCCAGCCCGCGCTCAATTGCACTCTGCTCAACCTCCTGCACGTGGTGCAGACACGTGTGTGTGTGTGTGGGGGGGGGGGTTAACGTTGGGTGGGTGTTAACGTTACATCCCATGTTCCCTTCACAACACACCACACGCACAACACAAGACGAGTTGTGTTACCTGTAGATCGCGCTGCTTGTTCTGTATGTGCACCTCTGCAGCCTGCTTCTCCAGCTCGGCTTGCTCCAGCCGCTCCTTGCTCTTGTTCTCCTTCAACTCGTACTTGGCAAACCACGCAGGCAGCGCGTCAAGCTCCCGCTGCCATCGTCGTGGTGGTGCATGGAAGCGTGAGGGATGAAGGTGTGCGGCAGTACGCGAGTGTGTGTGTGTGTATGTGTGCTGTATGTATGCTGTGTGTGGGTGTGTATGTGTGTGTGTGTCTAATTTACCACCACCACCACCACCACCACCACCACCACCACCACCACCACCACCAACAGCGTCACGAGTGTCCCACCACATAGGGCTCCATCTCTTGCAGCAGCGCCGTCTTGTCTGGCATTGGGTTCTGAGCATCAAAGTCGCGCATCTTGCTGTCGTACTCCGCCACCAGCCTGCTCAGTTCTTCGCGCTGTTCGGCCGTGTGTGTGTGCGTGGGGGGGGATTGTGGTGAGCACGATAGTGGCAAGGGGGGGGGTTGCGGGGTGCAAGATGCAAGATGCATTCAACGCAACATACACGCAAGTAAGCACGCACATGCACACGCAAGCAACGCACGCAAGCACATGCACAAGAAAGCATCCACAGACACAGACACAGCCATGACACACGCACGCACCCATGCACACACACACACACACACACACACACATTCGCACCTTGTTCTGGATTGGCTGGAGCTCCTGCTCAAGGTCGTGGAGAGAGGACTGCAGATCCGCAACACCGACTGGCTCCTCCAATTCGTCCTCCTGTCGAAGAGCATTCAAACTTCGCTCCAACTTTCGCTGCTGACGCACAATCGTCCGCAGCTGCCGCTCCCGCTCTGTAATTGGAGGTATGAAGGGGGGCGTGTGGTGTTGTGAGTGTGCGTGTGTGTGTGTGGTGTGTGTGTGTGTGTGTGTGGTGTTGGCGTGTGTGTGTGTTGTGAGTGTGTGTGTGTTTGCATCCTTCTGCATTGTTCACGTTGCTGCGCATGTTGGTGCGCTGCAAACATGGACCACGCACACACTTGTCGGCCATTCATCAACATCATCTCGCAGTGCACGTGCACACCTTTGCTCTGGGCCTCATTGTCGGCAATTTGCCTGCGCGCGTTGGCGAGGTCTGTCTTTGCTTGCTCCAACTTTTCCTGGGCACTGCACAGCACCAAGCAGCCGAGATGAGCATGAAGAGAGCGTGGTAAGCATGACTTGCGTGAGGGTGTGTACAGCTTGTGCTTGCTGAATGTCGTCACCGACGACATACACACACACATACGCTGCATTTCAGATTCACACAAGCACCACCACTACGACGACAACAACGATCACGACAACAGTTATCACCACCACCGTCACCACGTACGCTGGGATCTTGGCCTCAATCTCCCTGGTGATCTGCGCGACGTCGGCGCCAAGACGGACGGGACGCGTGGAGCTGTTGGAGTAGTACCGGTTGCCCGCACCAGCACGCATCTGAAGGGAGGGGGGATGGTAGGGGAGGGGGATGGTAGAGGAGGGGGATGGTAGAGGGTCGAGGGGGGGATGGTCGAGGGGGGGAGAATGATGATGAGCGTAAGTGTTGTGTCGTGTGCGGCCATGATCACAAGCACACAACCGTGCAAGAGACTGCATACACATGTGCACACACACACACATACACACACACAAACACACACACACACACACACACACACACACACACACAAACACATTATCACACACATGTATGCATTTCAAACACGTTCACAACCAATCACCGCCCACACCTCGTCGCCGTTGGGGAGGAAGGCACCAGCGATCCTCTGTCCGTTGAGACCGCTGATCTGGCTCGCCCCTCGCGCGTCCCACACCAGCTCGCGCCCCTGCAACGCCGTGACACCCGGCGGCGGTGGTGGTGTTGGTCGTGGTGGTGTTGGTGTTGGTCGTGGTGGTGGTGAGCACGGCTTGCCGTAGAGACCGATGGTGGCTGCGGCTCTCTTTCTCCGTCACCGAAAGCACTAACATGAACATAAAAGCGCGCGCGCACACATACACATACACATGCACATACACACACACGCCACGCACCTGGTCGTAGTCCTTGCAGAGGAATGTGATGTTGGTGCGGCCGTGATCAACGAGAAACGCCTCCACCACCGGCTCGCTGATGGACGTGACTTGGTCGATCGTCTGCAATGGGGGTTGGCGGTGATGGAAGGACGGGCGTGTGGATGTGTGAGATATACAGCAACATGCATGCGTGAACGCACAAAACAACGCACAAAACAACGCACAAAACAACGCACACACGCAAGCACAGCCATACCGGTGCGGGCGCCTGGACGGGCGGGAGTTTGCGGCCGGCGTTGGCGTAGCTGTAGACGTAGACGCTTGGCTGGTGGCGGCGGAAGACAGACGCCAAAATGCGTTTCAGTTTCGCAGCATCGGCGGCATTGTCCACAAGATAGGCTGGCAGGAAGTTGCGCTGTCGCCACACAAGGAAACATACACATGTGTGCACACAAGAGCATGAAAACGTGAGCACACGTCAGCAGCACCGTCCTGCACAACTGATCCAACTTTGTTGTTGTGCGTCTCTAAAATAATGGTTTCAAAACATGCCAGTGCTCATCCCCCATCTCTCAAACACATAGCCGCGAAACAACCAACAAGGAACGCCGTACACCCCAACAACACCCCCATGAACACTCCACCGCGTATTAGCGACGCACCAGAGAGGTTTCGACGGCCACGCCCCACGTTTTGTCCTGCAGGCGGATGTACTGTCCGATAGGCCCGTACACGGGTTTGGAGAAGCGCTCGCGGTCGATTTTGGCGGCGGCGACAGGGAACTCCTGTCCCCACACACTCAACTAATGACAGCAGGGTGGTGGTGGTGGTGGTGGTGGTGGTGAACGGCGGATGGGTGAGCGGGCAAAGAGGACCGGTGCAAAACAGTGAAAGTGAAGCACAAAAGCTCACACGTGTGTGTAAACATGGAATGAAATGTGGCAAATTGCGCACAGAAGAAGATGAAACAAGCAAACACCATTTCATACACACACACACAAGCACACACACGCACACACACACAAGCAAGCAAGCAAGCAAGCAAGCACACACACACACACACACACACACACACACCTGGCTCTGTCCGCTGTGGATGAGATTGCGTCGCTCGCGTTCAAGTGAGTCAAGGCGGTACTTTGCACGCTCGAGCTCCTGCATCGACCGGTCCTTCACCTCATGCAGCCGGCCCTGCGCACCGTCAAGCTCTTGCGCCGCTTGCTCGCACTGGTGGCGGCGGCGGTGGTGGCAGAAGAGGAAAGGGGAGGAGGGGTGTTAATAAAAGCGTTGTCGACATCAGAGAGACAGTGAGACAGGAAAAGAGAGTGTGAGTGAGTGAGAGAGAGTGTGTGTGTGGCTCACACACACACACACACGCATCAAACAATAGAGGGAGTGCGTGCGCACCTCCTGCCGTGCGTGGTGCAGCTGCTGCAACTGCTCTTCCTTCTCTGCAATCTTCTCCGCCCGCTGCCGCGCCTCACACTGGTGGGGCGATGCGGTGAAATGATGGTGTCAAGTGTGGTGATGGGATGGTGAGTGGACGCATGCTGTTTGGGTGTGGAAGCAGTGACAAGCACATCAACAAGCATTGCGAACAACGTATACACACCACACACACACACACACACACACACACACACACACACACACACACACACACACACACACACAAACACACACAGTCACCACCATCACCACCACCATGATGGTTGTCGTACGTCGTGGGCGTCGGCGTTGTTTGAGTGCTCGAGCTCTCCAATCGTCTGCAGCACGCGCTCAGCCTCCTCCCGCTTGAAACGCAACTCCCGCTCGCACTTCATCAAGTTGCGCTGTGATGATGGTGGTGGGGGGGGCAACGGGAGTGAAGTTGAGTCATTCGGGGAGGGAGGGGAGTGTTGGCGGGCAGGCGTAAGTGCACACAAAGGTGCGCACACACACACACATACACACACATACACACACACACACGTACAAACACACACACACACACACAACACACACACACACACATACACAGGGTGCGCACCTTTGCGTCCTCCTGCTCGCGTGCCAGGCCCCTCTTCCTGTGCCGGATGTCGGTCGCCTGCTGCTCCGCTGCGTCGAGTCGGCCCTTCATCTCCGACACGGCCGCCTCCAGCTCCTGCATGCGCGCAGTCTTGGCAGCCTTCTTCGCCTGCAGTCATGGCGTTCGTGGTGTTATTGGTGTGTTGTTGTTTGATTGTTTTTTGGGGGGAATTGGGTTGGTGGTTGGTGGGCGTGAGGTGAAGGTGGTTGAAGTGAGCACAAGGCCAAGGCTCACAACACACAAACAAACACACAGCACCATCACCACGCACACAAACAAACACACAGCACCACAGCACCACCACCACCACTGGCGCACCTCAATCTTTTCCAGGTTGGCGGTGCATTTGCGGATATCGTCATCAAACTTGAGCGCGTCGTTTCGTGCGTCCTCAATTTCGCTGCGCTTCTCCTTGACCTCCGCCCACACCAGCGACTGCACCAGCTTGTGCTCTTCCTGCTCCATCTCGTCGATCTTTTGCGTCAGCTGGCAGTGCGTTGCGTGTTATTGTGCGAGTGTGTGAGGGAGGGACTCGGGCGTGTGTGGCTGGTGGTACAAGAGCAAGTGACAATCAACACTCTTGAAATACGCACACACACACATACATCCACATGCACACACACGCATACACGCACGAACACGTGTACGGACCTCGTAGCGCTGGCGGTCAGCCTCGATGTTGACTTCCAGTTTCTTCATCTCCTGTTGTTCGTTCGTGATGGGCGGTGATGGTGAGCAGGGGCGAAGCAATGCGGATGCAGTGATCATTATGCACACATCACACACATCACACACACACACACGCGCACAAGCACATGAACATGACTGCTCACGCTGCTGCCATCACCTTGGTTTTTCGCTCCAGCAGGTACTCGGACTGCGTGAGAATGTCGTCCACGTCCACAAACAAATGCTCGAGCGTCTCAACGTGCGTCCCCTTTTTGAAAAACTGCCACAGGGGCCAAGGGTGTGTGTGTGTGTGTGTGTGTGTGTGTGTGTGTGTGTGTGTGTGTGTGTGTGTGTGTGTGTGTGTGTGTGTGTGTGTGTGTGTGTGTGTGTGTGTGTGTGTGTGTGTGTGTGTGTGTGTGTGAGGAGGAGGTTTGGTTGCAGTTTGGTACAAGAACATCAGACAACACAGCACAACAGCACAGCACAACACAACACAACACAACACAACACAACACAACACAACACAACACAACACAACACAACACAACACAGCACAACACAGTACAACACAACACAACACAACACGATCAGCAGCAGCCGGCCTGCCTGACCTTGAAGAGGTTTGTTGGGGAGCTGTCTGTGAGGAAGGTCTTGGCAACTTCTTGCGTCAGGATGGATACAGGGTTGTCAATCTACACTCACGCGGAGTGGAAGGGGGAGAGGGTGTCGAAATAGGAGACACGTGTCGATGTGAGGACAAATGCCGATGTGAGGATAAGAGGTGTAGGAGGGTCGCGTGAGAGCAATGTGCACACACGCGCACACACGTGGAAGCGTCGCAAGTGCAGTCAAACGCGTGTGTCAAAGCAATACAAAGGGGAAATGAGAAGCAGGTGACGTGCACCTGAATGTTGAAGTGATCGCACATGTCCAACACGCTGCGCCTCGACGTCGCCTTCTTGTTGTTGTTCGCATCATACATCGTGTACCTGCAGCGTGAATGTGCGCAGGTTGAACGAAGCAACAGTGAAAAGAGGGATGAACCGCAACGAGAAGGGCCACAAACAGGGGCCACACACACACACACACACACACACACACACCCCAAAAAACAAGCAAACACATACACTCACACACACACACACGCACACACACACAAACAAGCAAACACACAAACAAGCAAACACACATACAAACAAGCAAACACAAACACACATACTCACACACAATCACAGCCCCCCTCCACCCTCCCCTTTCCCTGCTGCATGACATACGTTGAACCCTTCTTGGTGATGACGCGCTCCACGTGGATGACATCGCCGTAGATCTCGGGCTTGAACGCCTCCGACCCGCTGTTCTTCATGGACACGCGGATGGTGGCGTCCCGCGCGCCGTTGCGGATGAAGCTCGACACGTTCGTGCTACCGCGGCCCGTGTTGGTGGGCTGCGCGCCAAGGCCTGCGATGGCCATGCGGACAAGCGGGTGACGTGAGAGGTGCATGCGTGTGTGCATGCGTGCATTGTATGCGTCAGGGTTGAGGTTGATGCGGGTGTGAGCGCATGAATACGCGTGTGTAAAACGCACCAAGGACGAGGGCGGAGAGGATTGCGCTTTTGCCAGAGCCATTGACGCCGTTGATGAAGTTGATGTTGTCAGCAAACTTGATCTCCAGCATGCTGCCGTCATAGAGAGAGAGAGAGAGAGAGAGAGAGAGAGTGTGTGTGTGTGTGTGTGTGTGTGTGTGTGTGTGAGTTAGGGAGAGAAGAGAGGGGGCAAGTGTCATGAACGGGTGTCATGAGCGCGCACGCAAATGCAACCCTTGCGAGAGGCAGGAGGGGGAAGCTGGAGAGCGACGCAGAGTGGACAATCACACACACACACACACACACACACACACACACACACACACACACACACACACACACACACACACACACACACACACACACACACACCGGTGGCACATAAAGTTCACGAGGTGCAATGCTTTGACGATGCCCGACTCCGCGGGCATGTCCACGAGGCCAACATCAGCGTCCTGTGACTGGATCTGACTCATGTTGCTCTCAAACTGGCCCTCAGCTTCGTCTTCATCGTGGCCGTCATCCATGCCGGTTGAGCCTGTTGCAACCACCTCGGCGGAGATGGCCTGGGTTGGTGTTCGGGTGGCCTTGCGGGGCCGAGAGTCGGGCATGCTCTGGTCGTACTCCTCCTCCTCTTCCCCATCTCCTTCGTCATCGTCCCACTCTTCACCGTCATGGCCGTGCTTCCCCATCAGGCCCGCCTCTCCCCGCTTGCTCCGCTTGGCCGCAGGCATGGTCCCGGTCAGGCAGGCGAACAGTGGTGCGACGTGGTGCGACGTGTCAGCAGCAGTAGAACGGGCGTGTGTTGTGTCGCTCGCTGGCTGTTGTGGTGGCTGTTGTATTGGGTTTTGCGCGCGAACACGACTCAGCAGGCGACACGACGACATGCGGAAATATTGTAAGATGTGGGGAGGATGAGGATGAGATCGAGATCGAGAACATGCGGCCGCAGTTGTCTGCCACCTGCTCTCTGTTTAGACCTGCGCCTCGTCACCCGTTCACTGCGCGAGATGCAAGGAGATCAAATAACTGAGGGGGGTGTCGCTCTCTGTCGCTGTGCATTACTGAAGTGCAGTTGTGTTGTTGTACTTGAAGACTTGTTCTACTTGTTGTGACAATGGGGAAGTTGAAGTTGGGGCGGTTGAGGTCAAGGAGGAAACAAAGAAACAAGGAGCGAAGTCAGGGACGCAAAGGACAATAATGAAAGGTAGAGGAACTGAGGGAGCAGTGGTTGAGTTGACTTGAGGAACACAACATGAAAGAAGAGAGCAACAACGACGCAAATGATAAAAGAAGTGGGTGAACAAGACTACAAGAGACGACAAGAGTAAACATGCAGACGTCTCAACATCCCGGATCGATGACGAGAACAGACTCTGAGTAAAATGGGATGGCGTAGACGAGGCCATTGTCAGTGAGCACGCCGCCGTACCACTTGGCATCCCCGTTAAGGTTTTGAATTGTCGTCGTGTCGGTGGTGTTTGTGGTTGGATTGAAGATGAAGACTGATGGTGATTTGTATGGGATGCCGATGATGTTGCCGTTGGGTGCAAGCACGCCGCCGACCCACTTTCCTGAACCCGTGGAATCGGGCACGGCGAGGGTGTCTGCAGTGTTGGTGGTCGGGTTGAGGACGAGGGTCGTCGCACTAAAGTATGGGATGCCATAGATAAGGCCGTTGCCTGCAAGCACACCACCATACCACTTGGCGCTTGTATCGAAGCCGCTGATGGTGGTGAGGTCCATGGTCATGGACTCTGGATTGATGATGAGGACGGAAGGGGCCGTCGTGGGAATACAGTAGATGAGGCCATTGTCTGCTTGCACACCGCCAAACCACTTGTCACCCTGGCTGGACAGCCCTGACAGCGTGGTGACGCCGGCTGTATTGGTCTCTGGATCAATGCTCAGCACAGAGGTGGCGAAGTAGGGTATGCCGAAGATGAGGCCGTTGCTGGCTGCCACGCCACTAAACCACTTGCGTTCACCGTCACCAAGTGAATCGATGCTCGAGGTGTCTGCGGTGTTGGTGTCTGGGTCGATGATGAGCATCGTCTCCCTATTTGAAGGAAGCATGTAGATGAGGCCGTTGTGTGCCAACACGGCACCAGCCCACTTGTAGCTGTCTGTGCCAAGTCCGGAGATTGTGGTTGTGTCAACGGTGTTGGTGCTGGGGTCGATGATGAGCACGGACGGGGAGTTGAACGGCGCCGCGTAGATCAGGCCGTTGTTCGCCAGCACACCTCCAAGCCACTTCACACTCAGTGAGTCAAGCTGCCCAAACGTCGTGGCACTTGGGGTGCACACTTCGCCACGGACACGGTCGATGGTGTTCTGCTGCGCCTCAATCGCCCTCTGCTGCGCGGAGACAGTAATCTGTAGCGCAGCATTGATGCTCTGCTGCGCCGACACGGTGCTCATCAGCGTGCTGAGCGTCTCGTGCACATTCACGCCGTTCACAAACACTGGCTGGCTCATTGGATCGCTGGTGTTGATGTGAAACGCGCCCGCATCATCCTCCATCAGCGTCACCTCTCCACTGGTGGTGAACGGCATCATCGCCAGCAACACGAAAAGCTGCAGCATCACGTGTGCCTGCAGGCCCCCCATCGCTGTCCTTATCAGCGCCATCTTGTTCTTCCTTGTGGACAGGTGGATGCTGTCCTGGCCTGAGGTGAGTGAGACACAGGATTGAAAGATTGGTCTTCTTCTTTTTGTTGTTGGAAGGGAAGAAAAGGACCGAAATCACAACACAGAAACACGCTTCACAAGTGTGTTGAGTGTGTGAATGAGTGAGTATGGTTGTCCGGTTGCGTGTTGAGACGAGGTTGACTGTGCTTGTGCGAGTGTGAGTGCATTGCTGGCATTGAGCACTCACAGGCACAGCGTGTGCTTGGTGACGATGGCGGTGACGTTGTCCACCTTTGTGAACGCTTTGAACGCGACTACCGTGTGTGTGTGTGTGTGTGTGTGTGTGTGTGTGTGTGTGTGTGTGTGTGTGTGATTGTTTGTGCGGGCGAAGAATCTAAGAAACGAACGTGCGACTCAGGCGACTGTAGGAGGACTGTCCCGCCCCTTGTTCTCGCTCCCTGAGGGCCATGAAGATCTTGAAGATTGCATCGGTCAACTGTCGTGTCGTGCTTTCGCTGTCAAGCAAGCGAGGCGCTGCTCGTGCTGCTGTCCCCGTGTTCAATCGGATCAAGAAGAGGAGAACAGTGGACGGGATGGAGCAAAGCAGCAAGAGGAAACAGGCCAGAACAGAGAAACAGGATGGCACTCATTGGGAGAGGATGAGGTCAGGGAATCCTGAGAGAGAAGCAACGCGGGCTCGTGGCGACAGCGACACAAGACAAGGAGAAGGAGAGAAAGGGGATGAGGAAAGGAAAGAAAGGGTTGAGAAGGACTGAAGGAGAGGGGTGCACAGTCTGATCCAACATACACACACACATACATACACACGCACGCACGTATGCGCGCGCGCGCACACATCAGCATCCCGGGTCAATGACGAGAACAGACTCAGAGGAAGACGGAATGCCGTAGATGAGGCCGTTTGGACCGAGCACGCCATCGAACCACTTGTTGTCGCCGGCAAGACCGCTGATGGTTGTTGTATCAGTGACGTTTGTTGTTGGATCGATGATGAGAACTGAGTGTGATTTGTATGGGATGCCGATGATGTTGCCGTTGGGTGCAAGCACGCCGCCGACCCACTTTCCAGAGCTTGTTTGCTCGGCCACGACGAGCTCGTCAGTGGCGTTCGTGGCTGGATCGATGACGAGTGCGGTTGCCGATAGCAATGGGATGGTGTAGATGAGCCCGTTGCTGGCAAGCACGCCACCATACCACTTGGCGTTACTGTCCAGGCCGCTGATGGTGGTGACGTCCATCGTCAGGGACTCGGGATTGATGATGAGGATCGAAGAAGTCGCACGTGGGATGCAGTAGATGAGGCCGTTGTCTGCTTGCACACCACCGTACCACTTATATTCTTGACTCAACACGCCAGACAGCGTGGTGAGGTCGGCTGTGTCGGTCTCAGGGTCGATGATCAGCACGGAGGTTGCAGAAGCTGGGATGCCGAAGACGAGGCCGTTGCTAGCCACAACACCACTGTACCACTTGTTGATACCAGAGCCGAGCGAATCGATACTTGATGTGTCGACGGTGTTGGTGTCGGGGTCGATGATGAGCATTGTCTCCCTGTGCGAAGGAAACATGTAAATGAGCCCGTTGTGTGCCAGTACAGCGCCGGCCCATTTGAAGTTGTCGGTTCCCATCCCGGAGATTGTGGTCGTGTCAATGCTATTGGTGCTGGGGTCGATAATGAGGACAGAAGGGGAGTTGTGCGGGGCGGCATAGACCAAGCCGTTGTTTGTCAGCACCCCGCCAATCCACTTGTACGCAGTTGAGCCGAGCTGGCCAAACGTCCTTTCATGAACCCTGTGACAAAACGCAGCGTTCAGGGTTTGCTGAGCATCGATTGCGCTCTGCTGTGCATCGATCGTGCTTTGCTGAGCAGCATTGATGCTCTGCTGTGCCGAAACGGTGCTCATCAGCGTGCTGAGCGTCTCGTGCACGTTCATGCCGTTCACAAACACGGGCTGGCTCATTGGATCGCTCGTGTTGATGTGAAACGCGCCCGCATAATCCTCCACCATCGTCACCTCTCCCATAGTGGTAAACGGCATCGAACAGACTGCCACCACCAGCAGCACGGACACCAGCATCACACGTGCCTGCAGGCATCCCATCGTTCTCTTTCTCATCATCGTACTCCAAGTTCAAGAAGAGAAGACGTGAAGACGAGCAGAAGAAGAAGGAGAACAGGAGAACAAGAGAAGTAGGAGTTAAGTGTGCCTTCCTCCTTCAGTCCTTCCTCGTTCGCGTGTCTGTTCGCAGGACAGGCGCAGCTCCAAGAGAAGACGAAGACAGGATTGGTTTGTTGTTTGTTTGTGGCGTTTTGGCTGGTTGTGGTTGTGGACGATTGTTGGGAATCATGCATTGGATTTCCAGCCACACACAAGCAAGTTCACTGTTGTTTGTTGTGTTGTTGTGGAAGGCAGCACGTTGAAACGCATCCATCCCTCAGCCTTCCTTCAACAGCTCATCATTGGACCAACAAGGACAGAGCACACACCACACGATGTCGAAGTTAACGGCATGAGCTCATCTTGAGGCTTGTTCTGATTACGACCTGTATCTCGCTTCCTCCTCCCTTCTCCACACGTCTATCTGTGCGTGTCAAAACACCAACACCAACCACATGCCTGCCATTCTTCTTCATACTGTTGACTGTGCGTTCCGACAATGCAAATGTCCAAGGCAGGGATGCCAGCATCAAAGGGCCCACTCAATACACAGCAACGAAGAAGACAAAGAACACCCACCAACGGAACAGGAACAGGGTGGGTATTGGAATAACGCTCAGCAACAAGCAAGAAGAAATGACGCGTTTGTAGATGTAACCAGAGAGATACGAGGTGTCCCGAGGACAGGACACACACACACACACACACCTCCCGCCTACTGAGCGTAGTACTGGAGCACGTGCTGTGCACACGTGTCAATGTCGCTGCGGGTGACGTAGGCCTGGGCGGAGAGGCGCAGCCACGCCTTACCATCCACCATCTGCACTGCCACGGCGGTGTTGTGCTGTTCCATCATGTGCGCGTACAGGTTGGCGGCCTTGTCCGCGTCGTCGCTCGGCAGCCGCACCGTGAACATGCACGGCTGCATGTCGGCAGGGCACGCGGCCTCTGTTCCAAACAGCTCCACCAGGCGCTCCCGCCCCCATTGCGCAAGGTCCAGGTTGCGTTGCATGAGGTCGCCGCCGCCGAGCCGCGTGTGGAAGGCAATGCCATCGGAGATGCAGCACATGGCCGTGTAGTCGCGCGTGCCCGTGTACACGTACTGGCGAGCGGTCGTGCCGTGCGCTTCACCCTGCGTGCCGTCGTCGGCGTCGTCTTGGTACAGGTGCCACTCGCTGGACACCACCGTCGGGTAGACCTGGTAGCCCGGAGCGAGGCAGAGCACGGCAGTGCCCTTGGGGCAGAACAGCCACTTGTGGCAGTTGCCAATGTACGCATCGACACCCGCGTCGAAGAGCGACGCCACGCTGATGGGGAGGTGGCCCGGCACGTGTGCGCCGTCAATCACCACGCGCGACACGCCGTGGTCCTTGGCGATGCGCGTCAGCTCGGCAACGGGCAGCGTCATGGCGGGGAAGCTGACAATGTGGGAGAAGATGGCCACCTTGAAGTGGCCCTTGGGGTGCTTCTGGAGCTCCTGCTCGACAGCGGACGTGACCTCCTCTTGTGCGGAGATGGGAAACGCCACGGGAACGCTGACGACGTCCCCGCACAGCCCTTGCCGCTGCAGCGCACGTGTGGTGTTCTTGACCATCGGGTATGCACAGCCGAGCAGCAGCACGCGGTCGTCCTCGCGCACGCACGTTGCCCGCAGGCACGCGTTCACACCCGTGCTGCCGGCCGGGGGGGATGAAGTGACAACGGGGGAGGGGGGGGGTTGAGGTGGGACGGTGTGAGAGAGTGGATGTGTGTGTGTGTGTGTGTGTGTGTGTGTGTGTGTGTGTGTGTGTGTGTGTGTGTGCAGTAGGCGGTGTTGGTGAGCAGCAAGCGAGCGAGCATTGCCCGAGCGGACTCTCTCCCCTGTGCTACCTTGTGTTTTCCACCAAGCAGACAGACTCCAGTGGTGCATCGAGGAAACTGGCGAGACCTGAACGGCTCTTGGCCACAATCTCCTGGTACTGGCCCTAAAAGGGTGGAGATGGGTGCGAGTATGAGTGAGTGTGTGTGAGTGGAAGGGAGGGGGAAATCGACAAGCAAACACACACACATGCACATGCAGACAGACACACACGTACACACACGTACGTACGTACCCGGAACCAGACATCGGGCCGTTGCTCTTGGCGTTGGAGGTACTTGACGTGCTTGTCCATGACCACCTTTGGCACTGTTCCAAACGAGCCATGGTTCAGGTTCACGTAGCCAGGCTCCAGCAGCAGTTCCGCTTTCACCTCCTCAGCAGTGGGCGCCATGATCACAGACGGCCTCCGTCGTGTGTGGTGTATGTGTGTGTGTGTGTGTTGTGATGAATGGATCAGGTGATGATGGTCAGCGAGGCAACACAGTGCAAGGCAACACAAGCAGGCGATGTCGTTTATGGTTTGTGGTTGTTCGCCTTCCAGGGCAGTGTGCATTGCGGAGCATTTGCTGTATCTTCCAACGAAAATCATGGCCGAGCCAAAGGCGAAGAAGTGCGTGTGCGCGCTGGTGGTCGCTGTGGGGTGTTGTTGTGGACTGGCTGGATGGATGGTTGTGATGGATGCATGGATGAGGCACGAAGCAAAGGGGGAGCGGAGAAGAGGATATGGGAACAGCCAAGACGATAAGGCACACACGTGATTGTAGAAGCATGACCAGCACTCATGTGAAACACCGCATGCGCACACGCACACAGGGCGCGCATGGACCTGGGCGAGCTCACGCCCCACAACGTGAAGCAGTTCAAGCTCATCAACAAGATCATCTTTCCAGTCTCATACAGCGACAAGGTATTGCGTGTGTGTGCGTGTGTGTATGTATGTGTGTATGTATGTGTGTATGTATGTGTGTGTGTGTGTGTGTAAGGTTTGGCACGTGGGTTGTGCTGTTTTGCTTGCGCGCTGACACTCTCACAACACGTTCGTGTATGCTTGTGTAGTTCTACAAGGATGCCGTTGCAGCAGGCGAATACGCAAGGCTCGGTGAGTACTTATTGACAGTGATACGCGTGTGGATGCCTGTGGACGCCTGCGTATGCTTGCGGATGTGAGGTCTCTCTACTCTGCAGTTGAAAGAAGGAATTGGCACTGCTCCGCTCACGCGATGCATTTTGTTCCTTCCATGACGACCACTATGATGAATGTGCAGCGTATTTAGACGACCTTGTCGTCGGTGCCGTGTGCTGCCGCGTCGATGGCACCAAGATCTACATCATGACCCTCGGGTGCTTGGCGCCATACCGCCGCCTCGGCCTCGGTCAGGGTTGTGTGTGTGTGTGTGTGTGTGTGTGTGTGTGTGTGTGTGTGTGTGTGCGTGCGTGTGCGTGCGTGTGTGTGTGCATGTGTGTGTGTGTGTGTGTGTCTGTTTGTTGCGCACACTTTCCTGCGCTCCGGTCTGTCTGCTTGATCCTCACACTCTGTGTTTTCCCTGTTTGCTTCCCACGCCTTTGCTCAGGTCGAATGATGGTGGAGCACGTGATGAACTTGGCGCGGAAGGATAAGAAGGTCACCGCCGTCTTCCTGTACGTCAACGGTGCCGCTGCTCTGCGATTGTTCCACCGCTGTGTGACTGCACTGCTCCTTTCGCACTCGCATGTGTGCGTATATGTATGTGTGTGTGTGTGTGTGCGTGTGTTGTTGTTCCATGATGACTTTGCTTCTTACGCCGTTGACGTTGTCATATTGACCCTAACACGTTCAGGCACGTGGACGTGAACAACGAGGACGCCGTTGAGTGAGTGGAAATGCACATGTGATGATGTTGTGTTGTGTTGTGTTGTGTTGTGTTGTGTTGTGTTGTGTTGTGTTGTGTTGTGTTGTGTGTGTGTGTGTGTTTGCATGCGGGGTCGTTTTGTTGTTCGTGAATGTGGTCTTCGGCATTCTCCGACCATCTACATCTGGTCTGGCGTGCTCACCTGACGCGCTCTGTCGTTACAGGTTTTACAAAACGTTTGGCTTTGAGGTGACAGAGACGGTGAAGGGCTATTACAAGGTGCGTGCATGCGTGTGTGCATGCGTGTGGTGTGTGTGTGTGTGTGGATGATACAACACACGTACTCATCATAACCGCGTGTGCTCACCACAAACACACGTGCCCACCCTTGTTGCTTCCCCCCTTGCCATCCGCGCGTGTGCAGAAACTGTCCCCTGGCGACGCGCATGTGCTGGAGAAGAAGGTGACGCACGAGAGCGAGGGCGACAGCAGCAGCAATGGTGATGATGATGAGACCAAGGCGGCTGCCAAGGCCGACAAGGACAAGGACGCAAAGTGACGTGTCTGCGTGTGTGTGTGTGTGCTGTGATGTGTTGTGTGTGTGTGTGTGTTTGTGGTGATGTGCTGTTGTGTGAAGGATTGGAACTCAGTGCGAGAGCATTGGCTGGAGCCACTTCCACTTGCTTGTTGTTGGTGCTGTTTCGTTCCGTTGTTCGTTCATTGGCGGACCAAGTACAAATAGATTGGCAGTAGTGATCGCAGTGCAATACAGTGATAGCAACGGCAGCCACAGTGGTGGTGAGAAGAACGAGGGGAGGGGAGAGGGGTGGTGAGAAGAACGAAGAGGGAAGAGGGATGGTGAGAAGAACGAAGAGGGAAGAGGGGAGGGGAGAAGAAGAGTGAGGAGGAGAAGAAAGGGATGGCGGTATTGACTGCCAACATTCACACAAACACCACCAAGATAATTATCACACGACACGTGTGTGTGTGTGTGCACGGTTAGACGGTGATGTTCTTCATCTGTTTGAAGGCCGGGAGCGACACCTTTCGCATCATGCTCTGCACAGCCAAGAGCGATTGGGGGGGGGGGATGGTGAGGAGGGCGTGTGTGTGTGTCCGTGTGTGTATGTGTGTGTGTGTGTATGTGTATGTGTGTGTGTGTGTGTATGTGTATGTGTGTGTGTGTGTGTGTGTGTGGGAGAGAGATGGTATTTTCTGGTTTCGCGGCATGAGCCCCACCAGGCGAGGGTGAAGCTAAGTCAGCACCAGGATAGGATGCGCCCGCCGGGTGCAATATCCGAGGGAATGGGGGGATAGCGGGATGCGAGGGGAGAGTGAAACCCGCCCCCGGGTCTGCTTTCTTGAGTCACGAAGAAAAAGATAAAAACGTAAGTCTGTAATGCTCGCCCCAGCGCCGCAGAGGGAGGAGTGAGTGG